TCAATGGAAACGTCAGCTCTACTCATATCATTGTGGGAAAATTCTACTATCAGTCCTTCATCATCTTAAACGAAATAGTGTGAACATATCTCATATTACTGATTTGCTGGTAGTCTCGAAACTATACTCAAATACGAAAATTAACATGTTAATCTAATGTGGACATAGTTCATCTTCTTGTGGGATTGGCCTATAAACTATGACTCTTAGACTATACGATGTATGGCAATGCGCGACTTTTTTATCCAAAATGAAGTTGTTTGTGTCATGCGACTATTCGATAACTTTATGTGGGGTGTAAATGAGGCATAGGTTAGACAGGGACTCTCAGTAAACGATTCATTCAAAATGAGCATTTTTAATCAGCCCTGGATATGGAAGAACTTTATATGTTATTCGAATTTGGGCTGTGTCTGCAAATTCTTACGGGTCTGGAGCCTTGCAGACAACTATAAAATTGGGATAAAACTTGGTAGGCCATTTGAATAGGACTCTGCGAATCGATACGAGCTAAAAGCACTGGGGCATGCTCAGTTTGCTGCTGTAGTCGGCAGTCATGAAGACGTCCTTTCGATCGAGAGCACCCAAAAGACGACACTTACCGGAACGCGTCAGGCGCACGCAAGAATACTGCCGGATTCTGGGACTACTGGCGCATTACAAAGAGGCGGCAGGAGAGCCATGTTCAGAAGAGGTGTGCCAAACTCCTGGTATGGGGTGGCAGATTCCGGCTGGTGGTCCGGTCGCGTCTCCGAAGCTCAGTGTCAAACAATGCTCTTTGGAAGACTCACTGGTAGCCAGACAGGCCAATAATTCCGCCAGAGAGAGTATTTTGTTGAGGAATATAGGCGGACTGAAACATCTCAAAGTAGGACCTATCACACCTAAAGGCTTATCTTCCTGTCGAAATGACTCTACAAGTAATGACCCTTCTGTCAGGCCGGATAGTGCAGATATCTTAACTGATAAAGAATGGACAGCATTACCATTTCACAATTCCATTAAGTACAGCAAAATAATCATGAAAAATTTGGCCAAGCTCGCTAATACTGCGTATCCATTGGCGCCAGATGGTAAGCATGGATTGTAACCCTCCAGACTCACTTAAATGCTACAAGTAGTTGAGCCAAATTCTGTTTAAAAGCTATCCAAATTTGCATGTTTCTCTATAATAGCATACGTCATACCTTTTGACGTCAGGAAACAGTAAGTGTAATCTGGCTTCCATTAAATTTTACTATATTTTACGCTAATTGGTCTGCATGGCACAATGGACCTAGGTGAACTAGGATAAACTGTTCTTTCCAGTCTCTGCGGCTAATGCAGCAAACTCCAGATGTTGCGTAAGAAGGCTTGTGAAGAATGCTCTTCTTCACTTTCAGAACAGTAATAATACTTCGATGCAGGAGCAGCAGTTTCCTGGAGAGTTGGCCAAAGGATAAAACGAGTCTTTTCCTTGTGTATCCGTCCTGTCATCCGCTCATTGCGAACTGCATATATCTTTGAATTGTGTCTTTGTTATATCCGGGCCAGTTTATCAATTTGTCTTCCCGGAAGTCATTATCGGATCACACTCCAGAGTAGTCCGATCTTCAATGATATTTTCTTTCAAAAATTCTTCTTTTGTAGGTCATCATGGACGAATAAACTTCACATATAGGAGTACTAACGGTTCTTTCTACTTCAACCTAACTCTAAATAAGACTTTTTCACTAATATCGTCTAAAAAATGAAGAAGCCCAGTTTTCCTTTACAATTCGACCCGAGTACGAAATATTCATCCAGATATGACATGCTCTGTGTTGGAAGCTGAAGTGACATTGTAAAACCAACCTCCAACTTATTCAATTAGGAGTTACTCAACAGAAGCGAGAGTGGTGGCCACATGAGGAGACCAAATATCTGATCATAGATGCGGCAGTTGAACTAACGCTAGGGAATTCCTATAGTTATTGGTCGATTGAGCTAAATACCCATTCTCAACGTACGCCTCCAAAATATCGTCGTCTGTTTCCAAGCTATCCACCAGTACCATAAACGCCTTATATCTTGCGATATCCGGACACATAGAATGTACACTTAAGATCACCAGTAAATCTATTCCACCAGACAAAATGTATGTGATAGTATTTCATTTTCTTTATTTAAATTGAGAAGAAAATTAATTTCGTTAATTTGACGGTTGCTCTATATCTCTCATTTCTTGTTATTTTCAGCAACGATATGCTTTTGGTGGTCTTGCATCCTTTTGTAATAGTAGCATAATTCTCCATTTTTCGATTGCCCCGTTCATATTCATTTTA